GTTACCGCGAGCTCGTCCCTCCAATCCGAGGGACGGCCCGCGTGCGGCAAAATCCCGGCTTCCCGTTGTTCGGGGAACAGCGTACCCACGACTTCGGCGAGAAGTCCATACATTCGGCCACTGGGGGCGTCCACGGTCGCAGTCTACGCAAGACCAGTTTGTATGGACGTCCCCAGAGGTTTCCCTTCAAGATGTCCAGGAAGGCGCCTCACGCCCGGTTCTTGGCCTTGCGGATGGCGCAGCGCTCTGCGGTTCCCCCTGAGAGAGTGGGGAGGGCCCCACGGTAGCCCGGACCCAGTGGGGGCCGAACCCTACAAACCCGCAGGAAGAAAACCTCCCGCTAACGGTGCCGTGCCACCAGGCGATTGCAGTCAGGGCCGCCAACCCCTACCGGTACAATAGGGATCCATCCTGAAAAGGACGGTTCCTTCAGGATCCCTGCCCTTCGTGGAGGACAGGGATCCCTTGGGGTACCGGACCCAGTGTACAGACTCCTCCTAAAAAGCGAAGGAGTCCGTACGAGGCACTGTTAGACCCCCGAACACTTCATCCCCGACCGGCTGCCACTGCCAGCAAGCGCCGACGGCTGCCCCGACCGTGGGAAAAGTGCCCGGGGGAGCCCCCTCGCCACGGCAAGGCCATGCCTCACGAGGGGGAACCTAACCTTCTTTTTTTGTTTTGCGTAGGAGGAAAAAATCTTCGTAAACCCCGGTTAAGCAATCCTCCCTTGCGGGAGTTTGAACCTTGTGACCGAACGCTCCAAGTCGCATTTGTCCACATATCATCATTTATTTTATTTTAAACCACAAAATTATCAAAAGGAATTCAAAGAATTGATTACTACCCTCGAGGACCAAGAGATAGCACAGGAGATCCAGGTTGAGGAAGAGGAAAAGAAGAATGAAGGATAAAGACAGATATATCTACTTACCGCCACAAACATATAATATTTAAAGTTTATTTCCAAATTTTAACCACAAGAATTTACAAAATCATATTAATTTATTATTTACAGGCAGTTAGAAGCCACACAAAGATGTAAAATTTGAGTTTAAAAAACATTATTTTAGCCACAAAGGTAGGCCGGTAAGGAAGGAAGTGATTTTTTCGATTAGAAATATTTAGGTTATAAGTCATTAAAGTAGGAAAACACCGATAATAAGTAACATTTATCATAGGATAAGGTATGAATGAATGAATGACAAGGAAGGTAATACCCTAAGACTAAGAGGAGAATACCTCTCAAGAAATAGACCAATCCGGTGAACCGTCCAATCGCGAGTTAGGCGCAGGAGGCGGGGAGCCAATTCCAACGGACAAGAAGGCGGGAGATAACTGCCGTGGAGAGGAATGAAAGGGGATTCGAGAGTTCGATCCCGGCAATTAACCAAAGAGGACGTAAAGTTAATCGCGGTTGAAAAAATAATTGCGGAGAGTCGTGAAAGGTGCGATCGATCAAAACTCAGTATCGGAACGGCGCGAGTAAAGACCGTGACGATAACTAAAACTAAGTTAGGGACACAAATCGCGTTATAAGCGAAATCAGAGCGATAAATTGTAAGTGTGTAGCAACCGACGCCATTACCTTTCGATCAAGCGCGACACGCGTAGAAGGGTACGCTCAAGCCCTGTTTGAGTACGAAAACGTGAAAAGAACTTTTTGATACGAGTGAATGTGACCGAGTGAGTGAACTATTAAATTAATGTCGTTGTTCAATAAAAGACTATATTTTATTATATATCCACTCGAGTCTATTACTACGTGCACCCATCCACTGCGTAAGCGCGAGTGTCGATTACGGTAATTGAAACAAAGAAACAATCCGCGTGAGATAAAAACTAAATACAACGAAGTCTGATGCGAGGTGCAGCCCGTGACCGGAAGCAGCCCGAGGACAAGCGGAATCCTGAACGAGGCAGGGACGATACTAAGGCTCCACCAGACAAAGAAGGAAGGGCATAACAAATTAGAGGAACCAAGCCACACGGCAGCCCAACAATTCCCATCGTAACCTTGCTTGTGGCTGAGGTTAAACAAGCTGGCGACCAGATTAAACATAGCGGACACACCGATTAAGGTAAATCACCACAAGGTAACAATATTTTATTAATGTCCGGCTACAGCCTAACCGAAGGAAGATACCCACTTCCGCGCGCGGTGGGTGTGTTGGATTCGAACTTCGTTTCTGGAAAGTGCGGCTCAGATTAGGCCCGAATTTCGTCGAAGGACTACTCGCTGTAGGGTCCAGTTCCTAACGGAGAGGCCCATCTTTCGCATTAGGTGACGAAGACGGGACCAATGTCGATATTACCATCAATCACTCATCCAGGCACCTACTCTAACAGGGCGAGGGAGGGACACCATCCCCCTCGCCCCACCCTCGGGATATAAGGAGGGGGCAGGACCGGGTCCAGTTCTTCCCGCCTGAACCCGGCCCCCCTC